AGGCTGCTGCCTGTGCTTCTCCCCGCCCTCCGCCTCCTGATGGACCCTGGTCTCGGCCGTGTGGCCTCCCAGCGTGTGGCACGGTGCGCCCCCTCCTCTTGGGATCGGTGAGTATAAAACAAACTAGCTTTTCAGCGCCGGTCATCTCTTGTTCTGCTGGCCCTGTAACACCTAATAATAACAAAACCCGTAAGTTAAAAAAAAAAAAACAGGGTGCGACGTACAGTGGTCTGTGGGTCAGAGTTAATGAGTGGCTTTTATCGGGAAGATCCAGTTACACGGAGAGCAGTTAAGACAGCGTCTGCTGAAGCCACCGTGGGAAGACTGGAGGTACTTAACCTGGTGCACGGCATATTACAATAACCCCCGTGTTTGCTGTTGCCATGATGAGGCCCCTGGGGCCACAGCAGCGAATGGGCCCTGCCCTCACACCACTTTCAGGCTTCCACAGCATTTGTCAGGGGGCCCTCAGCTAGCCGGGAGGAGCAGAAAAGGCTCCCTGGGACCCAAGTACAAGTTAGCCAGGCAAGCAAATGGTATGTGGGCAAGCAAATGTTTGTTTTGTTTTTAATTTAAATTTTTTTAAATGTTTATTTACTTTTGAGAGAGACAGAATGCAAGCAGGAAGGGACAGAGAGAGAGGGAGACACCGAATCTCAAGCAGGCTCCAGACTCTGAGCTGTCAGCACAGAGCCCGAAGCGGGGCTCGAACCCACGAACTGTGAGATCATGACCCGAAGTCGGACGCTTAACCGACTGAGCCACCTAGGCGCCCTGTCGTATTGTCTTTGATTTAAACTGAGGTAGGAACAGGTTCGGTCATCGGTAGGGGGCTGCTAAAACCCAGCTGTGACTATGTCACATTCTGATGTGAGCAGAACCCTCCCGGTTCACCGAGAAGCATGAGCGACGGGCCATCCCGCACAGTAGGCATTAATTGTGCATTTATACACTGCATGTACCTTCTACATCCTTAGGCAAGGTCAGTAACTGGGACGCAGACCCGGCCCCTGAAGACCTCACAGAGAAGCTCCCTACCCAGGACACTAGGGGACCCACAGGGGAGTGTGGGGTGGGGGGCAGAGACCAGCAGAGAGTTGGGGCTCCAGAAGCCGGTGGCCTGGGAAGGAGCACTGTTTTTCTATCACAGGGACCGGCACCTTCTGGACCAGTTTGGCTCCAGACTGGGTCATGAGTCAGAAAAGCCGTTGTGTTCCAGTCACGATAAGGTCACAGAACCTTGCGTTTGTTTCCTCATCCGCAGAAAGGAACAACGTCCAACTTCCCCCTCTAATGACGAGAGACCCATAAGGTCATGAGAACTTACCAAAGAACCAGGAGACCTTCCTCGGCAACAGGATCCTGGCCCCCAGCTTTCCGTGTGGTGGGGCTGTCAGTACTGATCCTGTTAAATCCACTTCTATCTTTAGTGAAAACCTACAACGTTATCGCCACGAGTCAGAGAGATCGGAAGGTGTTAAAGCTGCCACTGCCATTCGGCCGTGATGCCTCACGCAGAGGGGACCAAAAGGTAACGAGACCAAGTTCCTCACACGACTTCAATTTAAATTAAACTTCCTTTAATGAAATAAAAAACAAACGGTGCATTGCATAATATCTGTGGTCACAGTATAAAACAATACAATTAGTTCATGTAACATCGGGTATGGACAAAAATACACGAGACCCTTTCTTTGTCTACGTAAAATCTGGCAGATCCTTCTGTGCGACGCTAAGAAAGACAGAGAGTCAACTTTTTTTTTTTCTCCTCCTAGCGATCTGCGCGCAATATTTATCACGGAGAATTTGGTCAAACAGCAGAGGAGGACTTACCGAAATCCCAGATCCCTTCTTCCTCTGCTGCCATCGGTGACGCTAAAAAAAAACACAAGTTTTCTGAAAGTAGCAAGTTGTGTAGTATTGCTTATTATTCCTGCCCAAAAGGCTCAGTCTTTGGCTCACGGATGTCAGTGACAAAATCATGGCTGCAGGCAGTCTGTAAAGCAAGAAGCAAGAGCCACCGGGGGAAACAGACAAGGGTCTGGGCAGGAGGGATGTCCTTTGCCAGGATCTTAAGGAAAAGCCACGTGGGGGGGGGGGGGGGAGGGAAACACACAAATAAATACATTTCTAAATTAACATTTAAATCCAGTTGGTGAGTCAGAGTTCCATCGTCCCATGAAAAATCCGAAGCGTTGTTAAAAAGTCAGAGTTTGCATTTTTTTTTCTTTTTTCTTTTTTAAAAAGTGAAAAGTGGTATGTAAACATCATAAAGTAAACAATTGAAAGTAATTTTGAGGCTTCTATCTGAACATAGCTTAGGCTCTTCCTGGGGGCTGTTTTTATGATTAGGAAAAAAAAACAAACAAACCCAAACTGTTTATAAAGTTTCTTTTTGTTGAGAAGTGCAATTTCATCTGTGTGAATTGTGGCTAGGTTCTTCTTCTGTTCACACCAGTGCCTCTGGCAGGAACCCCCTTCCAGAAGAGCACTTTGGGGGGGGGGGGAAGCCGTATTTGGTACAGCAAGAGAGTGTATCTCACATATTTAAAAGGACACACATTCCAGGCCAGTTTCTGGCCCTGGATGGAGTGAGGTCCCTGGTACAACACCCTGGGATTTCTTCCTCCTCTGTACCAGCCCCTAGGCGACTGGCAGTGTGGCCAGCCCCACGATCACAGGGTGGGGTTGGCGTCAATGCCTTAGCAACCGCAGCCTCGAGCTGCAGTGGCAGTTTGCAGTCAAATGCTCTGCCACGGAGCGATACCCCCGGCAGTGGCGGTTTGAGAGCAGAAGGTACAGCATGTGAACACCTGTCACTTGCCGTGTGTCTGGCGTGACCCATCCATGGTTTTAACGCATACCTGGGGCCACCTGGCCACACTCACAGCAAGGTACCCTTTGCTCTACCAAGAAGGGCCTGCACTACGACAATCCTGAACCTTCTTTTAATGGTGATTAACTGTGTGGACTCAAAGGGCACTGGTGTCCCTAACGTAGCACCTGTGAATGTGTGTTCCCTCTTCCGTTCCCGTATATACAATCACCTGGGACCCACCTCCTCTGAGATGGCATAGTTAAGAAACAACTGGGAGAAAAGACCCGAAGCTAGTGCCATCAAGGCCTCCTCCTGTTCCCCTGGTCACCCGTGCTCGGGTGGGGCAGGTGCTGGGCTTGGAACTCACTTGTGCCACTACCGTTAACACGGCGTCTACCGTGAGTGGTCCCCTAGGTGGGCAGGACAAAAAGGGAAGCGGGGTGGCAATCTGCCTCCTGGGGGTGACTCAGTGACAAGGGCAGAGTGGGCTGTGTGTGGGCAGCGCAGGGAGGGAAGCAGCGGGGACGATGGTGAGCCGGTGGGCGGGGGAGTGTGGCTCGTCTGGCCCCTTGTGACAAAGAGCCGCACATGAATGGCCATCATTTTGTAGGACTTTATTGCTCAAAACAAACGAATCTTTTTTCCCTTCGGAAGACAGAGCAGCGTGAGATCCGTCAGAGCCAGGATGAAAGAGCAGAGGATTGCAATGCGGGGCATGACTCACCAGTGAGCCTCAGAAAGCCCACTGGGATGCTTCCGAAAGGCCAGTGCTATGCAGGGGCAGATGCCTCAGGGAGCAGAGGAGCTCTTTTGGTCCGCGTCCTACTCCGGGTACGAGCAGTCGGGCAAAACGGATTGCTCTCAGATCTACTTTGTAGGCTGTTCACACGGCAGTAAATTGCTGGTTTCCTTCGTGTTCCTAACAGGAAAGCAAACATACCACAAAGCGTACCCTTGCTCGCTGACCCCCGGCGGGGGGTCTTACGACGACTTGAAGGGCTGAAAAGGTCATGGAAAATGCACGGTTCTTCCAGGCAATTTCTGATTCTGTGAAGTCGGTCAGTCTTGCAAGCAGCAATACACCTTCACATTAAGGAGCCCAAGCAGCCACGAAGGACATGGGGTACACGTGTGGGTGTCCCTCGGTGGCCGAGGCCTTCGCCTCCCACGAAGGGCAGGAGAGGGGGACGGAGGTGGCGTCCTCCTCCAGACACAGCCCCGGCACCCCGACACTCCTGGCCCGAGCCGAGGACAGCTGACCCCCCAGGACCCTCTTCTGCGCTCCCTGGGGCCCCCTGAGGCACGGCGCCCTCAGAACCATCGGAGGGCCTGCTCCTTCCCTTGTCCCCAACCTCGTCTTCCTTGAGGACCTTCTTACTGCCCCGGACAGAGGTGGCTGTGTATTTTTCTTCATATTCATTCTTAAGGCTAAGGTGGCAAGATAAGGTGCTTGGTGGGGAGCCAAATTCTAGATTCCAGGGCCATTTCAGCACACTCACATAAAGCAAATACGAAAGAAATGGAAAGGGGGCAGAGCAGCAAAAAAAAAAAAAAAAAAAAAAAAAAGGAAAAGGAAAAGAAAAAAAAAAGCATTTGGGCTCAGTAAGAAGTTACATACTGCAAGTTTAGATTTCAAATGTCTAAACCCCTGAAAATACGGGGTGGGTAGGGTGGTCAAAGCCACGAATGAGCCTGCGGCACAGGTCTGTGTTGTCGCTGGGCCGGGGCGGACGGCTTCGTCTAGCGGCCCTCCTAACACGGGCCCGACACGGAAGCTGGCTCCCGGCGGGCAGCTCTGTCCTCACCTAAGACAAAGAACTCTGAGAGCCACCGTCCTTCCTCACCGCGACCCCTCGAAACCAAACATACGAACACACACAGGTCAGAGATCTATAAACCGGTAGGAGAAAAAAATTAGACAAAGGGTAACCATTAAAAAGCCGCAGCCGGGAACACACACACGCGATTGTTCTACCAGAAAGTGCCGTGGGAAGAAGAGTCGTGGGCTGGTAAACGTGTCCGCGCTCAGAACTTGACATGCGGGGGGGAGAGAGCGCCCGGTCCCACCTGAGATTGGAGAGGACTGGTTTCTAGTGTCACACACTGCGTGTGAAAAAGATCGCGGTCCTCCTCCCGCCCCGTCGCTCCTAGACCGCCCCTGTCGCGGCTCCCCCGGCGTGGCCTAGTCCATTTCCATGGACATGAGGCGGCGGCGCTCACGCCTTGTCTCCTGGACCTCCTTCTTACAGCACCAGTGGGAGCTACAGTACCCGATGAGGCAGGACAGGAGCCCGATGACGGTGGACAGGCCCACGCCGATCAGCAGCGGGTACTTGAAGGCGTTCAGCACTGGAGGGAAGGAACAGGGGGATGCCGGTCAGTGGTGCAAGGAGGTGGCCTCGGGAAGCCTGCCCCCTCCCTTCCCCTCCCCTCCCCACCCAAGCGGGTGTCCCCGCGGGGCCCAGCTGGCACTCAAGCTGTCCCCAGCACCTAGCGCAGCGCTCCGGGCAGGAGCCCTCTTATCTGCCCACAAAGTGAGCACATGACACCCCGCCCGGTTCTGTGGGGGAGAGACAAAAAACCGGGAGAAAGATTTCGTTCGTTTGATGTCTCTGAATATCAGCTTGCTTTTTAGGGTTTTGGCAGGAGACTGATTTTTAAAAGTCAGTATAAGGGCACCGCACAGTCAGCAGCAGATGCGTCCTTAAAAAAAAAAAATAACACACAACACTGTTCATACATCAATTCTGTGCATCGAATAACTGAAGTGTACTAGCAGGGCTATTTTAAGTAACACTAGAGTCGATTATCCAGGAAAGTGAATAATTCCCTCCCTTGTTCAGGAAATCTGGCTTTTCATATGGAGCTACTTGAAGCAAGGAATTTCTGCGATGCAAATGGGATAAATGACGAAGTTTCAGGAATGCACAGACACGGTACGGACCGCACACCCCCAAATCCCGAGTCCCTTCTCCCAGAAGCAGCAGCACTCTTTGCGCGGGTGCTAGCACGCCTGCCGGCAGCTGGCATTTAATGTCGCTCACCTTTCGGAAGAGCCCATTGTACGGCAGAGGAGACAGAGAGCCACAGAGGCTAAGGCATCCGTGGACAAGCTGGGGCTCCAGTTCCAGTCTCCCCCACACTGACATCTCCTCAGGGACACCCACTCAAAGCTCTCCCCTAACCCTCGGAGGCGCCAGGACTTTAATTCTCTCCGGGGAATTTCTCCATTAACGTGTACTCTGAAGTTTTTGCAGAGAAGACAGGTTTCTCATTAGCCCAGGAACAGCTGCCCCCGCTCTGGGATGCTCGGGGAACAGAGGGGTGGGAAGGGGGCCCTCCGACCACCTAGTTAGAATGACTCTGGAGGCCGGTGTTGGCCAACAAGGCAGGGAGCCCTCTTCTCATCCCAGGGTTCCGGAGAGAACCCCCTGCATGCTAATGACACCAGTTGGATCCTCCCTTTTCCAAGAAGCAAAACCAAGAGGGCAGGAGGGGCAGGAACCCACTCACCACCTCTCCCGGGGCCCTGAACCCGCTCCCTCGATGCCATTCTCTGGCTCTGCCTGGCAGAATCCATGCCAGCCCCGTGACAGGGAAAGAGGTCTGCACAGAATTCGGAGAAACCATCAAACGTCTCTCCGGTAAGTCCTAACCACCACCTCCCGGTGGCGGCTCGGGCACACGATGCCGCACCGGGGGTAGCAGCAAGGCCTCCTTCTGCGTGCCGGCCCAGGGCAGGTCTACAGAGAGAGAGAGGGCTGGGTGCTGGGTGGCACATTCCTCAAAGGGCGGCCACCTGACCCTGTCGGCCGCCGCACAGCCCAGAGACGTAACCGGACGTCCTCCTTACCATCCATCTTCACAGTCACAAAGATGGGCTTGGAGTAGATCTCTGCCTCCTTCTGCCAGGAGCCTGTTGGGGACCTCACCCACGGGGTCACGGAGCAGTAGTAGTTGCCAAAGTCCTGGTCCTCGGAGCCATGGACTCGCAGCAAGAATTCCAGCACGCCGACACGCTCCAGGCTGAGCTCACTCTTCCGGTCTCTCTCGGCCGTG